ACCCACACCCACACCCACACCCACACCCACACCCACACCCACACCCATCATGGCACGATCATCATCGGCCATGATAACAATACAATCGTAATCGACGATGATGAAGACCCAATCATTATCAACCATGACTGATGAGCAGGATTTCAAATAACTTCTGCTTTTCCCATTTTTCTTCTTTTGCTGAACTATAATATTGAAATAAACTTATCAATATTCACTCAATCTTATCTCATTAGATAGACGACCGTACGAGAACAAAATCATCTATGGAACTTTTTTTTTTGATGGGATCATTTGTTTCCGAGGTATTCATTGAACACGATGAACAAACAATATCTTATCTGCTGTTACAAAAAAGTGATTTTATCTCGTGAGAAAAAAGAGATAGAAGACCGAGCCCTATTCTCTTTCTCTTAGAAAAGAGTCTAGCAAGAATAAATTGTTTGATAGTGTGTCCGCACTTTACGGATTAGGCTAAAAACTTGGTAAAGATATGAAAGGAATTTTTTCTATAAGAGTTGACCGAAGGGTAATGGGAGTCGAAGAATTCAAATCTGACTTCTATTTTATATAGTCATATAAATCAATAGCTTGGTAATTGTTTAATAGTGCGATTCCTACGAGAAAGAGCTGAGGTAGTCTTTAGATGAGTGTCACTTGATAACCAAAATTGAATGATTCGTATTCGATGGTTGTTATAATCGGTAACATAGAAATTAACCTTTAGATGAAAATACAAATTTGATAAAGAAACACTGAATCATAATAAAGAGCATATAAGAATGAAACAAGTGAAGATTATTTCTCTACATGTTACTCATTGATTTGAGACTACTGGTTAATACATACTTAATGTCACTATATCATGTAATAGAACATATTTAATAGTCTTCTATTCGTATGGAAAACAAAAAAAACAATATTCGCTATAAAATGATATTATTTAAAACGAAAATAAAGATGGTGTTAGTAACATATTCTATGACTAACTGATTTCCATTTATTTTTCTTCATTAATCGTTAAATACATTATGGATTTTTAGATCATATTCAATCATCTGTTCTTTTCCAGCAGTGTTTCTAATAGCAAGTGTACCAAGCATAATCGAAATGTACGGAACACTTGCTCCTCTTGAAATACACGCTGCGGTACACTTATCCCAAAAATTAGAGTGTACGAAATACACTTTGTTTAATAAAATAACACTTTGCTTCTAATCCTGAGGATTTTCAAGAATAATATGAATTTCAAAAGTTATGTCTAAACAATGAAACATTGTAACCTTTTTCGATACAAATTATCATTCGTATCTTGGAAAGATAATAATATTTACATTTACTGTGTAATTATTCATCTACCATTATTTAATTGCGCTACGAAAGAAAGGCATGAACATTCTTTTATTTTTCACTTCTTTATTTTGTGTTAAGCGTCAAGTGTATACACTTTGATACACTTGGCATACGAAAACAAGATGTACACATACACTTGGCTAAGAAAAATAAAATGTACATATACATTTTGTTTTAGATTTCTATTAGAAACCCTGTTTTCCAGATTTAAAAAATGGACGTGCTTTTCCAGACAATTCGTGATGCAAGTCTTAATGATATTCGCCACGAATTCGACTACTTATTTTTATTCATCCACACGTTAATTTGTCATGATTACCAATTAGAAGTAGCAATAGAACTTGTTTTTCCGAAACTGTTCATGTATATATATATTTTTTATTTTTTAATATTTCATAGAAACCTCTGTCAATATTGCAATTGGTCAAGTTTGGTCACAATCAACTTCGAATTGATTATAACATTCATAATGGTCGGATCGAACTGATTTTCACAGAAGAGGAAAATTTAATAGAGATACATTTACACGTAAGCAAATATTTTTGACATCTAAGTAATTTTTTTATTTCTAATTTTAGAATAATATAAACAAATTACATACTTACATTGAATTTGAAATAAGTTCTTATGTCAACACCATTGAATATAATACATTTCAGTAATATACTTTTAATAATATATTTTTTTCTATTATTTGGTTTGTAGATTAAAAAATTTGTCCGAACTGACCGATAAAATTCTTAATTTTATAAAACATGAAACTAGTGCTGCAACAACAGCTTTTGAGGGTGTGGGTATGGGTGTCTCTTCTTCATCCACACCCTTACTCATCCAATCCGTACTCACATCAAATTCACACCCTCAAGAACAAAAAGAATTTGAAAATAACCATATCATGTATTATAATGCGGTCAAACAAACACAAAACAAATAAAATGTATGATATTAAATGAGTTTTCGATCGCAATTCAGTACGTGTATTACACATATGGAAGCGTCTAATACAGGTATAGGATTAACAGAGTTCCAATTAAAAGAATCTAATATTAGTAATACACTAAATGACTTATTAACGTACAAAACCATTGAAAAAGCTTTTGATGATAAAAACTATGTTTTTATGATCCATTTGTTGGTAATTTATTTATTTAGATGCTACGTAATGATCTCAAAGAAACGTTTATCGTCGACGATGCGACAAGGACAGCTATTAATGCATTTACGAATATTTATCCCACGTCAAAAGCAATGGCAGCGTAAACGACGTAAAAACGGTATAAAACGACAAAAACCGATGTTTTCCCGTCGTTGTAATCCGGCATACCAGAAAAATGGTAGCCGTTTTCTGACAAATAAAACGGCTATTTTTCGGGGACGATGGATTACGCCTAAATACAACGAGAATTGATGCAGTAATATACCGTTTTATAATCGTTTCAGGTCGTTGAAGATTTCGTTTCTGATGGTCGGAATGATCGTCTTAGGTATTTGTTCGTTTTCATTTATACACTAATTGCGTATGCATTCAAGAGTCAGGTAACAATAGTACTTCTTTTTTTGAAACTGTACGTAAATGTATTTCTTTATTTTTTAATATTTCATAGAAACCTTTATCAATCCTACAATTAGTTAAATTTGGTTCCTCTCAACTACATGTTGATTATATAATTGGTAAAGGTCGCATAGAATTGATTTTTAATAAACATAAAAATCAAATGAAAATCAAACAATATGTAAGCAAATATTTTGACAACCACACCCATCTTTTTATCTCATATTTTAGAATAATATAAAAATATTGCATACGGATATTGAACTTGAAACAAATTCGTATGTCAAAACAATTGCAATTGGTACATATCAGTAATATACTTTTAATAATATATTTTTTTCTGTTATTTGGTTTATAGATTAAAAAATCTCTCCGAGCTTACGGACAAAATACTCAACTTCATAAAATATGAAACTGATACTGCAACAAACGCTAAATAACAAAAAAATACATTCAAAACAAAAAGAAATTAAAAACGATCAATATTTTGTTGTTGTTGTTGCTGAGAAGTAGCATATATACTGAGATATTGTTTTATCCAATAGAATTTTGGTCTTTTATGTTTACTAGTAAAAAACATCCTAATAAACTTTGATAAGGAACAATTCGTACAGATCCTACGAAGAAAAAAAAACAATTGATCATGCATATTTTGAAATTTTATGTTGAGTCAAAATTCATTTTTTTAATAATCAGTATGTTTGTATTATCTTTAGAACTAGCTTATATTCGACTAAAATTCATTTATGAAAACTATCACATATTATCTTATGAAACATTTGCATCAAGAACTTAACTGCTTATAATTTGAGAAATTATCTGTAAAATATACTTTCAGATTTTGAATAGCAATAGGAAAAATTTAATGTACTTGTATAAACACAGATCTTCTTTGTGTAACATCTGTATTCATGTTTAATACTAAACGAAAAAAAAATGCAATGAATAACTTAACTATATAAAATTATCATTTTATATACTGATCTTTTCAATAGCAACATTCTAAATAAAGCAGTCTTTCCTCAAGTTTGAGAATAACTCATAGGCATGTAATGATATTGCCACATAATTTTCATTTTTATATGTAACCAACTTTTCTGCTTAGGTTAAAGCAATGAAAACACAATTTATTTATGAACGACCATTCTCTTTACTATATATGACAGCAGAATTTAAACTAATTGTTTTATCAAATTAGTAATATAATCTCACATTAAATGGTACATTAATGTATGTTTTTTATTTTTGCAATATCTTCTATCTGTGCATTGTATAAAGTATATTTGTATTTTATTGTGAGATTATGTTTATGTTGAACTTAAAGCTAGCGATATTTACGAACGAAAAATATATGATGATCAGTATTTTTTGAATGGTTTGAACCAATTATTAGAATAAATTATGACTTAGTTTTAGAAAATAAAATAAAATTTGTGTTACAAAATATTAGATAATGAAATTAATTCACAGTATATATTCACACGTTGTTCTTTCGTTGAAAAAGTATTGATTTATAAATCAAACCGTGTATGTCATTTATTTACTTGGATACCTCTGGAATTCTAAGATTAGGGTGTAGGTGTGACATATATATTCTAATTACTCACACCCTCAAGATGGTATCAGTTCGATATTATCATTGCGTTTAAAAGGGAATTTTTTTCATATTTCATTGCTGAGATAATCGTAACACAAAATGACAACTTTGAATGCGTGCGTCAAGATAGTAAGATAGAAAAAAAGAAAAAAAACTAGCAAAGGACTACATAAATGCTTTGCTTCGCATTGCATTAAGAATATTCTTTCAACTACAAACTCACCAAATTATTGACACTTTCAGCTTATCAAAAATGAATGAGTTATTGTTCTACTTGACGATATCGGTCAAATAGAATCAATGAATATATTCTGAAAGAAAAAAAATGATTTATATTATTAATCAAGAAATATGACTAGTGTTTCCAAGCAGCAACGTCAGTCATACTCTCTTACTTTTGTGTTGATTGGTCGATTATGTTGATCGTATATAAACATTGACTTTTCTCAGATGCAACAAACAGAGAAACGAAGATAAATATGGAATGTTCATATGTTCAACTAGATGATTTACCCGATGAAATTCTTTTGATTATTTTTAAAAAACTGGACAATTTTGATATACTTCATTCTTTTCATGGTGTTACAAATAGACGATTGAATAGAATAATACATGATCCATTATTTATAAGCAATTTAAACTTTGTTATATGGTCATCTAACAAATTTCTCAATAAACTTTCTTCAAATGTTATACTTAATCGATTTTGTTTACAAATTTTACCTGATATTTCTGTAAAAATCAAATTGCTTCATCTTGAATCATCATCAGCAAAAAATATTTTACGTGCTGCAGATTATCCTAATCTATATGGACTTGGCCTATATAATATCAACGGAAAGACAGCTAGACGTCTTTTTACTGGTAAGAAAAACAAAATAAAATTCTTTTAATTTTAAGCAAAAATTGAAAATATCTTGAAATCACTAATGCAACTGAATAAATTGTTGAATATAAGAAAGTACTGTTCTAGTTTCTGTTTCAATATAGGAATTTGCAAAAGAATTATATATAAAAATCTTTATGAGAGAAAACAGTCTTACTAAATACAAACCCAGATTTAAACAAAAATAATTTTTCTTACTTTTAAGAGAGTTCTTTAGAGAAAAAAAACAGGTGAATACAGAAACTATTTCGAAAAATAATTTGTTTCTATCAAAAATTATCTTAATTTATATATTTAGATAAAAGGTTTTCAACTGGTATTTTTAAAAAACAAATAACAAGACTCATTATAACAACTCCTAGAGATAAAAATTATTGGTTTACAATAGTAAAAATATGCAGTTGTATTTTTTCTATATTTAACAAATTAACACATTTAATATTTTCTGAGTCATTATATGAAAATTATGTTCCTTTATTATTTGATTTTCCATCTCGAAGTTTTTCATCTTCAAGTCTTTTGGTATTAAATATCAAAATTCAACATTTCTCACAGTTACTTTATGTTCTTGATGATCGTTTTAGTCAACTTCATACACTCACTGTTGATTTGATTAATAATT